AATCCATTTTCATTAATTTSATATTAATTCTTAAAATCCAGATGATCCCTCAACCCAAGAATTTTAAAGTAAATGCAAATAAATAAGTAAATAAGTAAAAAATGAAACAGGAGAATCATAATGGCATCTGTATCATGGCATATAAAGAAGCAACTTCAGACTTCTGCATCTCAGATCTTGTGAGCCTTGTAATCTTTTGAGCAAAATCAGTTTTCTCTCATACAGCTTCAAGATTCTTCTCCTGAAACAAAATTAATTTTAGAGGAAATAGTCTGGGCTATTCATATGGATTTTTAGACACAAATGAAGATAGCTCTTTCTGGGTTTTCTCTCTTTTTAAAAAATGTTACCTCTTCGGGCTAGAGTTTTTTTTTGTTGTTGTTTGTTTGTTTGTTTTTTTGTTAACCTCAGCAGAATTGTTTTCTGGGCAACACTTAAAGAAACATATTGTAAAGTCTGCAATATTTTTCTAAGGTACTTTCGTCTCATGTCTTTTAGGACTCCTCTGCATGACCCAAATCTGTCCAGTGTTTGCAGCTGTCTTACATTTCTCAAGTATTTGAGGGGTGGAGGGAATTTTTCCAAGCCACCAATGCTCTGGGTCTCATAATTTTCCTTTTTTACTCCTTCTCTCCATTGTGTCCTTCCTTCCTTTCTTCCTTCMGTTAAGTTCTTCCCCCATCTCTCTCCATCCTCTTCATTCTTCTCACCTAAGCCCTCCACYATCATTTTCTGAGTTTCTTAGCTGTAATAACAATACTGTGTCATGGAATTTACTTTTATCATAGCCTGGTCTTAATCAGTCTCATTACATTTATTAGTTTGATGGTCTTGGTCAGAGTCTTTTAGAACCTTGGTTTCTGATTATGAGGGTTTTATGATGTCCATCATGTCAAACATCTAAAAGCACAGTAAATGATTACTAATTAGCAGATACTTTTCCTTTTCAATGTTTCTCTATTGTTTTGTTTTACATAAATTCCCTTTCTTTTTGATCTTTTGGGGCTTCTTACATACTTATCTTTATATGTACTAAAACACTTTTAAATTTATTAATCTTTTTAACTTTTTCATATGTCTATTTTTTTTGTTTTTATTCCAGAATTGCCACATTTTCATCTTTACTCTTAAAATATAAAAAAATATCTTGGAATAATTCCCAGCTTCTAAATTTATCTACTGACATATTCCATATTCACTTTAGAATGGATGATTGTCAGATCAGCAATCAATGGATAATAACACATGGTGCAGAAGGCTGAACATGTCATGCTCTTTTTTCCTCTCTGTGCCTCRAGCGTATTTATAAGAAAACTTTCAGTGCTTCCTTGTGTACACTGTCACTTTCCCAGGTTACAATTAAATAGATTGTGTAGTTATCAGAGAACTACACAATCTATTTAATTCAAAATAAACATATTCAATTACATTGGTATATGTATTAATTTGTTCTAAATTTACTTTCTTAATAATAGACATTTATTTGATATGAAAATAAATGACTTTACATAAATCATAATAAATTTTGATGTACATTTGATTCTATATATCTGAAATTTTGGATTCCACAAAATATGTGTCCTCACATATTTAAAATAAGATATAAAAAATTAAATTAAATGGAAATTTTGAGAGTTCTTCCTGCCTTATTTTACTATAACTTATTAAATTAATATTTTCATATCTTCTAATCATTAGCTTTGATAATTTGCATAAATTATTTSATGTATTTGGTATTTGCTGTTCCTCCGAATAGAAATATTAGAAAAAGTACAAGGAACTATAAAAACTTGAATGTGACATATCAAGTATGTTCGTAGTCAGGACTCAGATACATAATGAGTAAAAATTTATGAAATATAAAAATGACAAAGTTGTGGAAAAATTATCAAGAGAAATTAAAGAAAATGATTGGTGAGTACTGGATATTAAAGAGTCTATTTAAACCATGATTTTATAACATATCATTTCTAATTAAGACTAGATTCATTTGTTTGGGTACATTCATACTTTATATGTTTCCAATATTTTCTAGTGGAAAAATTGAGATTATGTGACATAGATTTTAAAATTTTCTCAGGCATCCTCATTTGTTTCATCTTAAATTTAGCATTTCTTTTCATTTGCAAATTTCTCAATGACTTGCTGGAGAATGGTGTCAAAAGGTAGTTTATAGTTGAAACTTTTTAAAGAAAGTTTCTGTAGTTAACTATTTAGGATACAACCAGGATGACATTGCCACATGACTTTTGCTAAGAAAAATTTAATTTAAAAATTTAATTCCTTCAATRCTGTATTTTAAATATTTATTACCTTCTCTATGTGTTTGATGGAATTAAAATGTGAATAAAAATCTGTGCGCTGTGATTGTTATTTGTAGTGAATAATATGGCTAAATTACTTCACCCAACTTTACATTAGATTTTCAGAATTTGAAAAAAAAGTTGGCTTTGTTAATTGCCATCAATAATAGTACTTGAGTGTGTTTAGAATTTTTCATGAATTTTTTTGAAATATTTTATTCTAGATGAAAAATCAGACTTAATTTTGGTTCAATCTCATCTATTCTGTGTACTAACAATAGACTTCTGTGTAAATTACCTAAACTCTGGTTTATTTTCCAAATTCTTTTAAATGCYAAAGAGCAGTTATAAGAATGAAATGAGAGACTATGCCTTATAGAAATCAGTTCCCTCAAACTGAGTTTGTCTAATGTGATGATGTAAACTGAAAAAAAAAATGAGAATGGCACCTTGGAAAGAAATGGTAGTGGAATTTTTTGAGCACTGTACTGCAATTATGTAAGTAAATGGGAAAAGCGCAAGGAGGATATTGATGTCTTGCTTTTCTTCAGCAGAGCTGCATTTAACATAAAGGGGAGTCATTTTATTGAATAATAAAAGCCTGACAATCACTGTGATTGGCTGACAGCCATTACTGCAGTGTAATTCTAAACAGCTTGTTTTTCAAAGTTCTTGTTGAATAACTCTTTAAACTCCAGTCATTGCCCAGCCTGATTGAAAAGTTCAAAATTCATCTTTTTAAGCTTTCTCCCTTAAATATAATATGTGCCATGATATATGCATATAAAATATACATTGTATAAAATATATACATGCATATGTGTGTATATGTACACACAGATATACATTTTATGTTACATATGATACATATAATGTGATATAAGTGATGAATTATGGGAAAAGATATGCATTTAAATAGTATTTTCTTTTTAAATGTTTAAAATTGAATACATTSTGACCATTTTGACATGGAGGACAACATTTAGGATATTTAGAAAACTAAAGTTTAAATAGTTGATAAAATTAATTCACGAGTTATGGAAGAAAAGGACATTTGAAGAAATCTTGTTTTAGAAAATACAGCATGTCTTACAGTGCAAAGCACAACATTTGATCTGCATTATCTAGCTTAAAATCCTGTGATTTCTGAATAGAATTTAAAGCTTCCAAAGTTATCAAATCCACTTTGATGCATTCATCTCTCTCAGTCAGCATTTCTAATCAGCAATCCTCACTAGAAAGTCTTTATAATGTGGTTGTACAGTTGGCAACTCACCAAAATAAATATTTAATGATATTTTAATGGCTATTTTAAATCTCTTATTTAAATTGTGGATTAATACTTTATTTAGCCAATGAATTCTGATCAGAATGTTTGAGAAACATATTTGCTATTGAAGCCCTCTGTAATGGCTGTGTACTTAGTTTTCAGAATTGTCCAGGTTAGATCCTCTCTGATGGAGGCATTTTATCTTAAACGTCAACATTGGAAACATTGAGATAAGGATAAGAAGCTGGAATCTTGAAAACTACAGAACTGTGTTAATTGCTCATTTTCAAACATAGAGATGGTAATTAATTCTATCCAACACAGATTCAAAACAGCTCGGGGAAATGGTCCTGATATTAGTGTTGTACAAAAGTGAAGGAAAATAGATGCAATTCCAGCGTCCAGAAAGCTGAATCTTCAACAGGCAGCAACAGAAGAATCCTAATGCATGAGGCGATTGGCTGATGGCATCTTTGTTCAGGCGATAGGCATCCTAAACCAGAYGCTGGGTGGAGAAATCCTTTCTCACCTCACCTTCAGAATCCACTGCTCAGCCACCTGGGCTGCCTCGGGTTGAGCCGCCGCCTCACTACTGGTGCACGTCTCCCCCTCTCGACCAGCAAGTGCTTGCTCCCTCCCMGCGAGGCACTCACACAATGGACTCACTTGTTTCCCTCGCACCTCTYCTTTGACTTCCAGTCTGAGCAAACAACTTGAGCAAGAGTCAGGCAGGAGTCTGACATGGAGCATGGACCCGCAGAGCCTTCCAGACGAGCTCAGAAGCACGCGCGCACACRCAGACAAAACAAACAATGCCTGGTCCACGAACGAATAAATTAACGCCACCCACGCCCCACCCGCCACTCTGAAACCATCAAAAAAAGAAATCTGGGACGGGATTTTCTAAATAAGAGGTTTTATTTTGTCTTTCAGACTGTGAACACCCATCCCTGAAGACATCAAGAGATGCTAGGCATTCTGATGGCAGTATAGACTGACGGTGGCTTTGCCCGCGACAACGCCCCCAGTATCGCGCTGAACCAGGTTCCCAGAGAACCACAAAAGGGAAACCCAGATGTAGGGGAAGGGTATGGCAGCTTAGGAAGGATGGAAAATGAGAAATCAGGGGGGAAAAATGAATGAGTTAAACTTGGGACACAAGGGGACGGGAGTTCTCCCTAGGTAACTACCTTGAGGTGAAAAATAGATGCATACATAAGGAAGTGGCAGGCAACAACTTTGAGGTGAGCAGCAAGTTGTGCACCTTCTTGGAGACGACTGATCAGTACCCCCTCGGCTGCCCCCAAAGCACACATTCCCCATCGGAGGCTTTGGCGGCGGTACCAACAGCAGCCACCGCAGCAGTAATCGCGGCAGCAGCGCGCCTCCGGCCCAACCCCGCGCGGCTCCCCCTCTCGCCGGCGCCCTGCCTGTCTTGCGTGTGCGTGTGCGTGTGCTCAGCCTCAGCGTGAGGGGCACCTGCTCGTCTGGGCTCACAGCGGAGGCAGACTCGCCGTGAGCTGCCGCGCTGCCTCTCGCAAGCGCCCGGCTCCCAGTCGCCGCCGCCACCGCCGCCACTGCGCCTCGCCAGCCAGAGTTGGGCTCCGTGGGGCTTCCCCCCTCGCAGCCTCGGTCCTTCCCGGCTGCTTGCAAGTCAGCCTGGCTCCGAGTCACGTGTCAGTGCCTGAGGCAGAGACTGAAAGAAAAAAACGCGCTTCATTCCTTCTTCCACCGCCATACTGTATTTTATACTAAATCTCATTTTTATTCCAACATTTTACTCCCGCTCGGTGAGTACCTTCTCAGTGGCATTCTTGTCCTATTCTTTTTTTTTGTCCTTTTTTTTGTTTTTGTTTTTGTTTTTTTTCTTCTTCTTTTTTTTTTCCACTTCTTTGATTATTGTTTATATTTGGGAAAGCTGAAGGAGCATGGTTTTGAGCCTTTTCCTGAATCCAAGTTTTTCTAGCATGCGATCGTTCTGTAGACAAGGCGCTGTGTCTGAGAGTCCGCGGCGACCGTGCGGGCTGGGAGCGACTCCCAAGTCCAGCAAATATGCAACTGGTTTTATGGAAAAAGCGATGTGAAGTATGGTGCCAATTTTTTTTCCTTTGTAAATATAAAAAAGCATGTTTCTAACTCTTTTTTTTTGCATACTCTTTTTCTGATAACATTTTTTGTATAGGTGGGATTTTACTTCAGTGTTTACAAGTTTGTGGTCTTGCAATACTGGTGCAAACCACTGAGCAAAGCCATTAATTTTATATTTTTTTTGTGCCCTTTTTCGAAGCCGGTGAGAAAAATATTTGTTTTTTCCCTCCTGTTTTTGATACCCTTTGATAACATGAAACTTTTCTTGCAGCTGGTTACTGGGATCATTTTTAAGCAAAATACTTTTTTTCCTCCTTTAAATTAACTATGACTTTTGCACATTTGACTTTTTTTTTATAAAAACCGAGATAATTTTGCGATAGATATCCTGATATCTATATCTATATTATCCCTTCTTCCTCTTCCTCCCCTCCCCGTAAATCAATTTTCAAATGATGGCAGTGGAAGGTTTTTCTGGAAAAAAAAATGAAGTGCGGTTTGGTTTCCTTGTCAACGGAGGATGAAGTGAACAGCTGAGCAGCTCGCAGAGAGCAGGTACTTGGTCCCCTTGGAGGCGTTTCCCGGGTGTGCGATGGCAACACTGGTCTTGGCAAAGAAATGTGTGTGTGTGTGTGTGTGTGTGTGTGTGTGTGTGTGTGTGTGCGCGCGCGCGCGCATCTCTGGGCAGTGTCCGAGACTGTGGTGGGGAAAGCCGCGCCGGGAACCGGGGAAAACCAAAGTCCTTTCCTTGACTCAGGATCGGTTTTGGATGTGCGCAAATACAGTTCCCCCCTGGCTGCGCCCAGGTTGTCTCTGCGGCTGGTGGCATCTGCGCCCCGGGCGGTGCCAGCCAGGAACGCGGTGGCCGGCGGGCCCTGTAAGTTCTCCGAGGGCCACTTGCAGAGTAGGAGGGGCCAGGGCCTTGTGTGTGGTGCTGGCCGTCGAGTCGGTCCGGGCGGGCGCCTCAGAGTATCCAGGAGATGGGGGTTGGAGCGACAGGGACAGCATCTTCCGGAGGGGCTGGCTCCTGGCTACATGGGCTGGAGCTCAAGACATTTCCAGAGCCTTGAGAATGGCACCAACCCCCTCACGCTCAACTCCTGCTCCTCCTCTTCGCAATGAGTAAACAACGCAGTAGGTCTTTCCCAGCCTCTTTTGCCTGGTCTTTCCCAGCCTCATTAGCCGCCTTAATGGTGCTGTCTTTCTATTTTTTTTTTTCCTTCCCCGTTGTGTTGCTTTGGTTTTAAGTGCTTGCTGGCGTCTTCCAGGGAATGGAGAAGTACTTAACTTACATGGTGGTCACTTGGATTTAATGTTGAGGAAGAAACTGTTAGGTTGCGTTAATGAGACTAAACCTCAAAGGTTTAAGATAGCCTTTTCTTTAAGTTTCCAAGCAATAGTGTTTCTCTCTTTTTAACTGGCTCTAAAGATACTCCCCTGAGATCTGGGACAGGGCTGGGTGGTGAGGGGCTGCTGATGGTGGTGATTGATTTTGGTGCGTTGGTAGAATTGAAGTACTCAGTGTTGAATGTATTCTGTGATATTTTATGATTGCCCTGTTACATGTTTTCAGAATAATCAAACACTACTTTTCAGAAATGTATTAGTTGGCAATGAAAAGCCTTTTTCTGTGTTTAACACAGAGACAGAATCTGCTGGAAAATTTACTGTCCAAATAAATTGCTGTACTTTACATATTAAAATCTAGAGAGTAACTATTATTTAAATGATTTGATTTTAAAGTTTTTATTTTCTTGCTTTATTTATCTCTTAAATGAAAAATTCAACCTTAAATTCATCATGTGTATATATTTTGGATTCTGGCAGAATAAACTTAAAGCAAATGAATTAACTTTTTACCTCTCAGATTAAGTTTTCTTCTAGGTTATCTACAGAAATAATAACTAACTTCAACATACAGAAGGGCCCATAACAAATGAGTCAATAACATATGCTATGTTTTTTTTTTTCCCAAGCAAACATTTCATTGAGTCTGCCCTCTCAGTTTGTAGAATGAAAAGTTTTATGTTATTTTTTATTCTTTGTGCTGAAAGAGGAGTATAAAGGTTCATTTATCTGTAGAAGATTAAAATGTACCATGATATCTGGAAAGCTATACATGTTTTATTCACAATGCACTCATGTGTCTCAASGATCTTTGGAAGTTGCATTACATGGGAGTTATTTTTGTTTTCAGGACRGCTTTCCTGTGTGAAGGAAGTCCTGTTGGGTTTACATAAGAAAGAGGGATTGTTTGGGTCTGTGTACAGCAGACTTTCTATCTTCAAGTGCATAGGTCTAAGATTTGAAGCCAATGTTGTCACTAAACCTTGAATATGGATTTAAATTTTTATTTTTAGTGAGCTCATTGCTCAAATTRAGCCTTTCATGTTTCAGCTAACATAAACATTACAAAAGCTATTTGCAACATTCTGTTTTAAAAGCCATTTTAATCATAACAACATATATAAGTAGAAATGCTCATTTGTTTAAAATATCAGATAATGTGTGTATAAATTATTTTAGATTGCACACTAGTGAGTTATTTGATTTTAAACAGAGAGACAGAGGAAACAAGAAATAACTTGAGTGATCAAATCTAGATATTCATTAAGAGGACCGATTGTTTCCCTAAGTTCAGTTTGTATATGAAGACTGGAAAAATCATTTCTATACTGTATATTTTCAAGTGAGAGTGAAACCATAATGGAACTAAAAAGATACTTTTAAGATTTTAATCAGTTGCACTCTGAATTTGGTAAACAAAGATCATGCCAAGAACCTTTTGTTATGTTTTCAGTTATTTAATATTGACTTTTGTTAGAAATTTATTTATGTTAAATTTCTATCTGTAACATTCAGATTTTCATAATTTCCTGCTCTATGAATCAAACTGGGAGTTCTGCAGCTCTTTAAACTGACCACTTGAGTTTTTTGGTTTAAAATCATTCARTGTAGTAGCCTAGAGTTAGCACCGCCTACTGGTTTCTCATGGAAAAAAAAATATATATATATATTTCTTTGCCCAAGCAACCTGCCTAAATTCAGATCAACTTAATAATGCACAGTTTCCACTCCCCCGACACAGCTTACTGAGAAAGAAAAATACAAAAAAGTTTTGTTTTGTAGGTAGAGAGGATTTCTGAGGTTAAAGGTGGCTTGAGGAAAGAAGACCCTTAGATTAAATTGGCTGTTGTACCAATAACTGTCCTCAAGTAGTTTAATAAGTCATGATGAAAAAACTATTACAAACTTAAAACAACATGTTGAATTTCCTAGATCCTTCATATGGGACACCAAATGAGAATACTGGTAAAAATCCTGGATTACTGAATTATCTTTATAGCTTTTGTCCCAATCTTAAACATTGTAGATAAAGAAAATCCTGGTTGGGAGTTCAGCCTTAAGTGTGTGGTCTGTCCAAAAATATTTAATTGAATAAATGTTCATTATTGAAGATAAACAATTCTTTCTTAAAATATATCATTACATATAAGCAATCAAGTTGTATATTGTTTTTTCTTAGGATGTATGAGGTAGCCACATTGTGGTAGTATTATTTGTGAGAGGAAATTTCCAAACATATTTTATACATACTCTTTCATATTTATAACTTAACATGTATTACTTTGCTCTAAAGTAAAAGCCATTCATTTTCTGTAATTTTTATGAAAGTCTAGTTGCTAAAAGAGAATATTAAAAAAAGTTCAAAAAAATGGAAAATTTGACATACTGATAAATTGTTTTCCAAGTTAAAAAAAMCCTGTGTTATCTGAAGTTAAATATTAATGTTTTTAATAAGACAGAAGTATATGGAAACACTGGAAAGAATAATGTGACTGTTACAGTTTTGAGAGCTTTCCACCTAAGTAAGAGTGTGGTCATGCTTTGTTTACTGTTTATTGACATTGTAAGCAACAAATTATACAGTGCATCAAGTGAAATGAAACTACATTTCAAGTCCTCAAAAAACTCCATTATGGAATTTGAAGAAAAGTCAGATGAAGATTTAGAATTATTTGCATAATAAGAAAGAATCCAGGAAAATATTTAACCATGATTCCTCTCTTAGACTTTTGAAAACTTTTATGTTAAAATAGTGATGAACTGTGACTTTAATATAGTTTTTTTCCACTTCTGTTATTACACTGCCATTAAGGAAAATATGTTGTGCTATGAAAAACTAAGGTAATAGTGAATTTTATTCTTCCAACTATTTATGGAGCTCCTAAAAATAAATAAAAATTTGTTCTGAAAACAGTGCTCACTTATCTGCAATTATTGTTATCCTCCCATTGTTATTATCTGTTAATTTCAATGTCTTACTCAAGTGTCTTTAAAATATTCATAATTTGAGTACCATTGTTTGGATYAATAAATTTTTCATAAACAATGAGAACAATTAGTTTCACCACACTACAACTTTGAGAATAACATTATTAAGTAAAATGTAAGTTAATATCTGATTTCTGAATACACATTTAGCCAGTGTTATGTAAATATATTTTCATCACTTTCATTTACTATTAAATTGATTTGCAGAATGTGTGTGTATACACACACACACACACACACCCATATCCCAGCTATTGCCAACTTTTAGTAGTTTTTCTTATTCTTTTAACTTTAAAAATTACAAGAGCATATTTGGAAATTTTTTTCTTTGATTTGTTAAATTTATAAACATCAAATATATGTTGTGAGAAATTGACTTTCCGTTTTTCTGATTTTTCCATACATTTTTAAAAAGKTTTTTTTTGTTTGTTTTCATTATCTTGCTATTTTTCTGATCCTGGAAAATACAGAGGTTATTTTGTTTGTTTCTGTGCGTTCCTGAGGTGCAGAGATGGCAATGGGAGAACTTCAGTGAGTCTTTAGGATAAATGCCCGCTGGACTGTCCTTGGAGACTCCTCAGCTGGGGTCAAGACTGCAAGAATTATTTCCTTATCTATATATAAATCTAAGTGGAAAAGAAATTATAGAGAACATGGGAACCATGCCCTGGTTTCGTGAAATATGCACTGGAATGCTTCACTAAGCACTCTTATGCTAATGAAAAAGTAAGGATTTTATGTGCATAAATATTTTGGTAAAAATTCATTTAACTTGTCAGTTAATATTCTTTTTTGCTTAGAATAAAACAGTGAAAATTTTTCATAAACTTAACAGTGGAGATTAATTGCGTTCATACACATCCCTGTGTTTAGAGAAAATGTTTGTACACACTTTGATAGCCATATGCCAAATAATAACAGGAGCAACATTTCTGAGTCAGTTTGAAAATTATTAATAGGCAGGACTAGGAAAGGATATTTTTTCATTACATCAAGATGAAAGGAACAGAAATGGGGAAGGATTAGCATTAATTGATGTGCCAAATGAATGCCCTTCCATTTTCTCTTATCCTTCATGAGTGGGTAGTACATTATTATTTTATATGTTGGAGAAAATGGACTTGGAATGATATGCACTTACTCAAAGTTCCCACAGGAARGGACAAATGACATGAAGTCTGAATGATGCCTTCTGATCCACCTTCTGGGCAGAGATGCTT